ATACATACATACATACATTACATACATACATACATACATACATATACATATACATATACATATACATATACATACATACATACATACATACATACATACATACATACATACATACATACATACATACATACATACATACATACATACATACATACATACATACATACATACATACATACATACATACATACATACATACATACATACATACATACATACATACATACATACATACTACATACATACATACATACATACATACATACATACATACATACATACATACATACATACATACATACATACATACATACATACATACATACATACATACATACATACATTACATTACTTACATACATACATACATACATACATACATACATACATACATACATACATACATACATACATACATACATACATACATACATACATACATACATACATACATTACATACATACATACATACATACATACATACATACATACATACATACATACATACATACATACATACATACATACATACATACATATGTACATGCATGCATACATACGAGAGAGGGAGAGTGGGGAGAGAGAGGCTTGGGGGGATGGGGAGGATGGGAGCAGAGGGAGGGAGAGAGGACGACAGAACACACAAGGGAGACAAGGAAGAGAGGAAGAAGGAGAAAAGGGAGAGGACAATGTCGGCGGACTGAGCCGGAGGCTCTAAAGTATTCAATAACAAACAAACAACGACAAACAAACAAACAACCACAAACAAACACACAAACAAACACAAACAGACAAACACAAACAAACACAGACAAACACAAACAAACACCACAGACAAACACAGACAAACACAGACAGACACAGACAGAGACAGACAGAGATTGGCAGAGACAGAGACAGACAGAGACAGACAAAGACAAACAGAGACAGACAAAGACAAACAAAGATGGACAGAGACAGACAGAGATTGACAAAGACAGAGACAGACAGAGACAGACAAAGACAAACAGAGACAGACAAAGACAAACAAAGACTGACAGAGACAGACAGAGACAGAGACAGACAGAGACAGACAGAGACAGACAGAGACAGACAGAGACAAACAGAGACAGACAGATACAGAGACGGACAGAGACAGACAGACAAAGACCGCCTGCTGCAAACCCGGCATGCCTTCGCTGGCTTGTTGGGTTTGAAACTCTTCGCGGTGCTTTTCCAACCAAGTCATCCAGGCTCGGTTTGTGACCGGCATACCCTGAAAACATCCGTCGCCCTTTTTGCGGGCATGCTCCCGCAATGCTTTAGCCTCTGCCTGCAACTCGTCCCGATTTCTTCAAGATATCGGTTGAGCTCCTCAGGGTTTCCTGCGTGGACAATTTGACGCATAGACTGCGCAGTAGATGGGTCTTGCCACCAGGTCCGCCTTGCGGCCGGGGCAGCGAGTCTGGCAGCCGCATCACCGTGTTGCAATCGGCCGCTTCACGAGCGTTCATTTTCTGCATTCGTTTTTTGGTCTTTGCCTCTGCCAAGTGTTGCTCGAGCAACCTCAAGCGCCAAACACCGTGCCACCGACATGCTTTTCGTGTTCCGTTGGTTGCGTTTATCCATGTTGGTCCGACGCTCAGCGTCCAGCGACGAGGCGGCGATGCGCTCAAACATCTGACAAAACTCATTTTGCACCCGGCTGTGCGTAAGGAATGACACAGCGTCTGCGTATGAGCCTACAGACAAAGCTTCTGATTGCAGAGGTAAGAAAAAGCCGACAAGAAAACTTCTTGTGAGAGGGCTAGAAAGAGCTCATGAATCCAGCCATGTTCATTCCCTGGCCATTGATGATATTTTCCGAATCGAATTTGCGCTGCAACTAGCAAAGCGGTTACCGTGCCAGCGCAGTCAAGAGTGGGGTCGTACTTCACAAGAGATACGATCTGCACTAGTTCCGTGGCTGTGCGCTGCTACAATTCCTGCCTTCCTAGACGCACCAATACGGGAACCGCGCTCTTCTTGGTTACAGCTAAATTGCAACAGAGAAGGTTTTTTCAAATCTTGCAGTGTGCTCGGGTCCTCGTACCAAGCTTTGAACTTGGTTAGCCGGGCTGCGTTCTCGCTTTTTTGGGTTCTTGGTGGACGTAGTGAACCTCTGGCGGAACCTGCAAAAGCCTGCAAAGTAACAGAGCGTTCGCGCATTCAGTGAAGAGCCAAAAGCGTGTTATGATTGGTTTGTTTTGCGTTTTCCATAGTAGCTTGCGCAAGGTTGAGAATGTCCCGCCCCGAAACGCAGCCAACTTACCGGAAGGCTCCGCGCGTCGCAAGTGCAACACGCTGACGTTGAGCAGTTCTACAAGCTCATCTGGGAATACTGCAGGGCTTAAAAGCTGAAGCAGGCCGTGGCCGGCCCTGCGCTGGTGAGGTCTGGGGCTTCCGCAAATCAAGTCGGAAGTCTGCACCACCCATCTGCGAAGCTCAGCCGCCAAGCCATCGACGTACGTTGGCAATAACAAATTGAAGAAGCGGCTGAGAATTGCGCACAACAAATCACCATCTAATGGGCCTGCCATCAACTTTCCGTATATGGCCAGAGTACTAAGCGATATTTGGCGCACTGGCGGTTCGCAAGAAATGTGGTAAAATGGCGCGTAGAGCAGCCAACTTTATGGGGACCGCGTCACCAGTTACAGCGTGAATGAAAGTGGGTCATCTCCCGCACGAGGGGCGCGCTCAGGAAAAAGAGCCGCCAAGACCTGGGTTGCGATGTTGCTAATGGACATGCCCAATGTGAGGGCATCTTTGCGCTGGAGAGGTTGTAGCTCTGTAAAAACAGGAGTGGTGACATGATGGCACTGCGCTTTGGAGCTGTGAGATTGGCTCTACGGCAAGGAAGTCATAGGCAAACGTACGTCCTGGTCCGAGCGCTGCTGCTGCCCACGTGAGCGTAACCGAAGGTCTGCGTATGGACCATGACAACTGGAATTGCCGACATGACGCCATTCTCAGGTGTGGCGAGTGTAGACCGAAAAGCTTCGTAAATTGCATTGGCGTTCAGAACTTTGAGTAGTTCTGCGAAGCAATCACGAACAGAGCTGATCCGGGCAGCACTAATGGCATGCGCCTCATCCAAATAAAACTGCTGGCAGAATGCCTCCAATGACTTCAAAGGTACCGTTGGATCGGCCAGCATGCTCCGCACAAACCAAGCGCTGGAAACGCGTGAGCCCATTAAGGCGGTCGACTCTTCCGTTGCCCTGAGCTTTTCTTTTTCGGCACCGAAGTTGGTAGCGGACCATATTTTGCAATTGAACACGGGTCTTGTCGCGTAGGGGCGTTTTCGAAGCGGCCCGCGCTAGCTTCGCAATTGCTGCACGTGTTTCAACAAAATTTGACACATCTTCATGCGACCACAAAGCTGTCTCAAGCTGCTTTGCGTCGCGGTGCGTTTGCCGAGCTAATCTGCCCAGAGGGTCCGCCATTGCTGCGCGTTTCAATGTTGGACCCGATCCCGGCTATTGATGATAGAGTATGGATCTCCCAACCAACCGTTACTACTCTTCCTCCCGAAAAGGTTGCTGTTGGTGATCGGGGGCGCAACCCTGGTTTGCATGCTGTTTACCACGAGTTCTCCTTTCGAATTGAACTTTGGTTTCAGCGAGTCATGTAACAAAACTACAACCCTGTCTCCTTTTCAAGTTAAAACCATGGAGCCGAAATGCGTCATGGGAAACAACCGCCCCAGCAACTATACACAGTCCAATAGAATCCATAATTTCAGACGCAGGATCGGTTTTCTAGAGTAATTTATGCTCCCTTGATTTTATATCTAAAAAGAGGGAAAGAGGGAAAGAGGGCAGGAGGGCAAGAGGGCAAAGAGGGCAAAGAGACAGAGACAGAGACACAGAGAGACAGAGAGACAAAGAGACAGAGAGACAGAGAGATAAAGAGACAGAGAGAGAGAGAGAGAGAGAGAGAGAGAGAGACAGAGAGAAAGCGGGAAAGAGGGAAAAGAAGGAAAGAGGGAATAGGGAAATAGGGAAACAGGGAAACGGGGAAAGAGGGAAAGAGGGAAAGAGAGCTCTAAGCGAAAGTCCGAAGAACCCCCCCCCAATTTCGGCAAAATTTCGGGAACTTCCGGGCCGCGCTAAGAAGCAGGAGCTTGAAAAGGACTGGGACGGGCACAGCCGATCGCCGCGCAAGCACGATGATTCGGCCGGAGTACCGCTACAGCGCCTCTGCGGTGCACGGGAAACGCGACCCCGAGGCCGCACCGGTTTATAGGAGAATAATAATATATAACTATAAATTCAATTATGATTAAATATTAAATGTCTTAAAACTCAACCTGGAGATTCATTCTGCGGCCTTTTTCTAGGCGTTTTAGTTTCCTGGTAGATTTGGGCGTGTTGGGCGTTCTAAGTGGTTTCTAGGAATTTTGCGCGACCCCCGAGCCCAAAAAACGTCTTTTTCTGATTTGCGGGCGTTTGCGGAGTTTTGCGGGCGTTTGCGGGCTTTTTGCGGGCGTTTTGCGGGTAATTCTGGGCGGGGAAAACGTGAAACCGTACCAATTCTGAAATCTCATAAACATATAGGAGCTTTGGTAGTTTTGGGCGACTTCACGAAAAAAACATCGAGATTTACGAAAAGCAAGTCAAAGCCGAGAACTACCAGGAAATTCATGGAGAATGAATCTCCAGGAAATTATAATTCATTTAATCAATATTAAATAATATGGTTTAATTAAGATTGTATCATCAATAATCATGAGTAATGTATCATAAACTTAATCTTCCCAAAATAGCCTCGCTTTAAAAACCAACGATAAATCAATATATTGTTGCAATTTGGTTTATAAGCTATTTCAAAGTATCTAACCAGAAATCAACATTATATTTTATTTGGTTTTTGTTAGATTAAGGTATTCGTTCGATTGAGGTTCTCTTTGTTTGATTGTTCATTGATTTTATTTGAACATTTATAGTGCTTAGGGTATAGATTTCTTATGTTTTTTGGAATTCAATCAATGAGTCCGCCAAAATGTGTGAGTCACAGCCACTTTGGGCCTTCCAGCATTAACCGAAAGAGGGAAGCTCGGAAAGCCTTCCGATTTGTTTCCTCATGGCTGGTCCAAGCACGGAGCTTCCGCAGTCCATCCGCATGGCACGGTGAGGTTCTTCCGGGTCATAGAGCCACACCTGCGGAAGCTGAGCTTTAGGCACCCCGGAAGGTCATGCCAACAAGACTCGGTCTGCCACAGACCCAAAGCGAAAAAATATCGTGGGAGTGTGTGCAAGCTTCCCATCCTGAGTCCCTGGGGACGGGGTCAGCGGGGAGACTTTGGGATTTTGAGAGCTATCTCGCGTGAGAAGAATGTCAAAATTGCAACCAACAATGCATTTCTTAGTCCTCCTGGGTTGTGTGGGACACTTACAATCTGGTCCAACATGAAACACACTGGGCGACCCCTTCTAAAGGAAAATGGTCCTCCACGGACCTCTCACTGGGGTTCCATGTTTGTGGATGGAAGTGTCCATATGCCTCCCAAATCAACCATAGACTGAAAATGTTGCCCGAACCTCTCATGGCAGCCGATTGAACGCCATTTCCAGTTGTGAGTATCACCCTCTTGCACAAAGATTCATGAGCTGGGAAAATTAAACAAAAGTCTGCAGCAAATGGAAGTAGGGGGGGCGCAGCATATTAAACGGTCTGTGTTCGCTTGACTAAAAGTTGAGAGCAACTATGATCATAAAGCGCGTAGTCCAACCGTCTAATATGCCGCCGAATGAATACCTACGCGACAAGGGATGGCAATAGGAATGCAATGCCCCAAAAACGGAACACGCAATTCCTGGAGCAACTGAGGCCGGCACTGCTTGAACATAAACCAAAGTGTGCGATAAATGCTATGGCCTCAGCTGGCTCAGAAAGACACGCGCCCATCTCACTGCAACCAATCAAAGTAACGCAGACCAAAAGGCGTGCGCTCTACCATGCTCTACCTACTTCACCTGGGCACTTGAAAGTCTGTGATACAAACACGATGTTGCCATACGTACAAGTCGCTTCGACGTCTGCACTGCCAAATTGATTAAATCATGCGTAATGGTTGCTGTGCTCAAGGCTGTGAGGCATGATTCCAGACGCTGCATTGCATAGGGTTAAGAGAAGCCTATCGAGCGAGGATGAACAAAGGACGACAGGATCTATTCGCTGGTCTCACCATCTTTCCATCTCTTAGCCACATCCTATCTGTTGGGGATGTAAGGCAAGAGAAAGGAAAGAGAGAGGTAGGCACATATGTGTTGGAAATGCAGGGTAAGAGAAAGGAAAGAGAGAGAGAAAGAGAGAGGTTCTGAGCGACCTCGTTCATCTCCTCAGGGTCTGATGTATAAGCTGGAGATGAGAGAGATGAGACACAGCCATCATTCCTTTCCTTTCCCTTCTGGCTTCCAGGAAAGCCAGTCAAGGAAAGCTGTCTGTCGCTGGTTCCTTCTCTCTGCCCCCCTCAACTCGCTACCAAAAGGGAGAGAGATGGAACAGAAGCGAGGGAAGAGAGACCTTTCCTTCCAAGCTTCTCCAATATAGACTTTTTCATCTAAAAGTTTGGAAGATGAAAGAGGAAGGGTGGTAGAGGGAAACGATTGGAGAAGAGATTCCAAATCCATTTCCTCTACCTTCGTTTCTTTACACCTCACCTACCTTTCCTAACATTGCAAATCCAACGTGGACAGGTAGCGAGTGAAGACATGAGAAAGCTCACTCGGAATTTCCGGTTTAGGAGCCTTCCCAAAGAGAGGACCATCGAGTGGAAACTGCCGGGGGACGCTGCTAACCCAGCGCACGGAAGGGTTAGCTCTCCTTCACATGGAACCTTCTCCAATTGAGACAGAGGGAAAGCTAGACTCAGCCAGTCTGCAACGGTCTCACCCGCCGCCGGACTGATTCTGGATCTAGGGCCCCAGCATTGCAAAGCCTCGGTCAACTTGGACATGACAGTTCTTTCTACGCATTTGCACCAAAACATGGGGGAAATCATACAATCAAAGCAAGTGGCAAAGCAAAAGCATCGCCTAGCTGTGACAACTCTACTGTGGCTGGACGAAATCCTTCACCACTTTGAAACCATGAAAAACCTTTCCCATCGTTTGCTGATATTTTACAAGGGAATCATCACTCCAGGGGTTCTGAACGGTGGTTTTCGAAATGGATGTCGCCACCATCCACAGGAGTCGGATAAGCCGAGCCGGACCTGTGAGCCACTCGCGTCGAGTCTGGGCTCCCTGCACTGCCCTTGCATGGGGCTCGCAGTATGTTGCCCTTCTGCACATCGATCTTCCTCGGATTTTTTCGAGGTGAAACGACCTACCCGAACCAGCCATGCAAGCAAGTCTGGAGGGTGTGGATCGACCAGATTAACAGATGTTAACACAAGTCTCCATTCACCGAGAGAAAGCAGAACTCCTCTCGGTGAACCAAAGGCACAAGAAGCTGCACTAAGCCCAAAGATGCATCAACCCCTGGAGCAACTGTGACATGAGGGTCTCTGTCCTGACCCAAGCTCTCCCAAAACTCTCCTTTCGAGCATCGAGACGATGTCATGATGTGGCATAACCGTGAAGGTGGCCATCTCCTCCTTCATGGATTCCAGACCTGGCTGCGAACCTTTGTTTCTCCGCTGAAATTTCCGGAATGCCCCCTGCTTCCTCTATGCCCTGGCCAAAACAAGACGTCTAGATTCATTCGAATGGAGACGGAGTGTACCTTCCGTCATCGCTTCCCCGTTGTCTCAAGTGTCTCTTGTGGCCATGGGTCAAAATCCCGTACAGCCAGTGAACATCCCAATCCCCACTAAGATAGACTAAAATGGGTGGTGCACCTACCCCAAAATGGGATCCCATCGGTTTTGACAACCACAGCCGCATGTCAACCCTCTTGCAGCAGGATGTTTACCGCAGCCAACAGCGGAGCCTTCGAAGCTCTCTGGCTGGTCACCGAACAGCACGAAGGCCGAGTGAAATACGCCTGGCCAACAGAAACGTGGATGCTAGCCTCCAAAAGCGCATCGGAGAATCAGACTTGGGCTTGCTCAACACGCAATGCCACTCCCGGCGATTGCATCTGCTAGATGGAATGCTTGCTCTCCAACATACGCTATGGGCAGAGTAACAAACCCAAGCCTGGAGGGCGACCGACGTTGCAACACCGTTTCAGCCTGAAGCCACCTATTGGGCGCTTCACTCATGTCAATCCCCGATGCCTGGAGCAGCAAATGCCATTGTGAGAGGTGGGGGGCCTGTCCTTGGTGTGCGCGAAACCGCACACAAAAGCCCCGTGATGCCACTTGGGCATCACGGCCCCCATCGCCCCGTTCCGCACATGAGAGTGAAACACCACCTCTTGGAAGCAATCATGCAAAACATGTCTTGAAGTCTTGAGGGGACACGCCAAAATCCCCACTGGGTGCGCTCTGGTTCTGCTCACTTTGACGAGTCATGGCGTCCAGGAAGTGTGGGGCAAGTTCTTGATGGCTTTTCCCCTGCAGGTTCTTACCCCTGATGTTTGAGTTGCGGATGAAATCACCGGGCATGGATAGCCCCTTTTTGGCCGAAGAAGGAAAATAGCCTGCAGTTAGTTGAGTGGGTTATGAGCCCAACGTTTTTCCTGTAGGCCCTCCTAAGGGCACGCCATGGCATCCTCGGCTGGGTCGGCGCAGACCGCTGACTCGCCGGAAACGGCGATGGTGCCGTGGCAGCCAAGCCGCGAGGACGCGGTGCCGCTGGGGCCGGCGGTGGATGTGAATCCTTTTTGGTCTGAGAAGGCCAAGGAGGAGGCGCAGCTCAAGGCGCTTCGCCCGAAGGATCTGCCGGAGGTGGAGGAGGAACAAGGGTCGCTGGTAAGCCCGGGAGCGCTGCCAGTGGGCTCGATCTACAGCGCAGAGATCCCGGCGGGTGGCCTTGATGAGCTCCTCGGTGCCTTCAAGCAGGTCATCACGCAAAACCAGGCGCTCTGGCAAGAGATGAAAAGCCTCAAGGAGCAGGTGCGTGAAGGCGGCGGAAGCAAGGCCATGAAGGAGTTGGGGGATGTGCCACGTGGTCCTGGGATGGGGCCGGGGGTGGACGCGCCTCGTTCTGCTCCGGGAGGCGGTGATCTGTTGGGTCTTCCTGGAGGAGGTGAGTTGGCGGACCTTTGGTGCTGCGAGCACGACAAGGAGGACCTGGAGATCAGAGCGGGTACCAAACCCCAACGGCGCTGGCGGGAGCCTATGGTGGTGCACCGCCTGGAGGAGGACCTCGGGAGCGTCGAGCAGATGATGGTCCTGGAGGGCTTCATCCTGAACAACCTCAAGGGGGAGAACCTGGTCGTGGAGGTGCGCATCGCGGAGGTGGGCAAGGGCCAGGAGATCCTTCTGAAGGAGCGCTACTACCTGGCTATGGAAACGGGTGGGTCACTGGACGTCAGGATGCGGGTCTTCGAGGTGAGGGCCAGCCACCTGGGCACGAAGGAGGTGGGTTTGGTGCGGCTGGTCGTCATGCAGATCAGCATCTACCCGGCGGAGGGTTTCATGGAGGGTGGCCTTATGGCGCTGGTGGACCCGGAGGTCCCGGTGGAGGTGCGGCGGCCATGAATCCGTGGATTGGAGGATGGACGCCTGGAGAAACCGTTCGCACGGTGGAGTTGCCGGCATTGGGTGAGGTGAAGGAAGGCGAGCTCGGGTCGTTGGTGGTGGGGGATTGGCTGATGTTGATCAGCCCGGTGATGAAGGACCTCACTGTCAGTTCCGGAGCATGGTGGGATCAGGTGCTTGCAGTGGCGGCAGAGGCCTACGCGCAGTGGTTGCAGGCGGATCCTTTGCAGCGGCTTCACATCAGGCCGCGGGCGGTGGAAGATGACGGTGGTCGTTGGAGTCGGGTGGCTCAGCGGGCACAGGCCATGTTGGTGGCTGCTTTGCCACCAGGGTTGAAAGCGGAGGTGCTTGCGGAGCGAGCTGCAACGGCCTGGGAGATTCTGTTCCGGGTGTTTACTAGGTACCAGCCAGGAGGGCTGGCGGAGAGATCACAACTCCTCAGAGGCTTGGTTGAGCCGCGGGTGCCAACGACGCTGAGTGAGGTGGTGGATGGGGTGAGGACTTGGAAAAGGTGGCTTGCCCGGACCCGTGAGCTGAAGGTGGCGATTCCGGATGCTACGTTGCTGGTTGGAGCCCTGGATCGGTTCGTCGGGATGGTCACGAAGCATTCTGGCCAGGCGATGTTCAGACTGAATGCGGCACGAGCTGGACTGCGGGTGGACGTGGCTCCCAGTTTGGAGGCGGTGGCGCAGCTGGCGGACGTCGTCCTGGCGGAAGGAGAAGCAGCACTACACGGAGCTTCGACCTCATCTACTACAACCGCAAAGGTCAAGGCGCTGGTGACCAAGGATGGAGGAGGTTGGGAAAAGGGTAAGGACAGCCCAAAAGGAGGAGGGAAAGGCAAGGGCAAGGATGCTTCGGCGGCTCCTGTGTGCCGGTTCTTCCTCACGGATGGGGGCTGCAAGAAGGGAGCGGATTGCACCTACAAGCATGAGTTCGACGGGGACAAGCGTGGACGCTGCTGGAATTGCGGAGGGACTTCGCATACCCGCAAGGACTGCCCGGTGAAGGTGCGAAAGCCTCGCGATGGAGATGGCGGAGCCAAGAACTTCAGCGAGAACGATGATGTGAAGGGCCAGGCCGTGAAGAAGGTCGAGGTGGATGCATCGGCGCCTACTACCGGTGGAGGAGAAGGATCGCCCGCGTCAGGGGCAGGGAGGACATCACAGTCAGATGGAAGTGATGGTGAAGCAGTGCGGGGACTCATTCAGGAAGCAGCGGGATTGCTGAAGAGCTTGAGGGGCCCTGAGTTGAGGAGGATTCAAGTGAGCTCCCTGGAGGTCAAGAACAAGAGGGCGCTGCTGGATGGAGGAGCGACGCACAGCCTGAGGCAGTGTGTGTCTGCACAAGAGTGGGAGGAGGCTCGGGAGGTCGAGGTGCATTTGGCGCAGGGGACGGTCTCTTTGCGGCTCATCCCGTGGACGAGGACGTTGTTGACCACAGAGGAGGTCCAGCCCATCGTTCCCCTGGGGTACCTGGTGCAGAGGGGCTACTCGGTGAAGTGGGAAGAGGACCGCTTTCAGCTGACTGATCAGCATGGGCGGACTCTAGACACCGCTTTGGAAGGAGGCTGTCCCACGGTAGATGAAAGCCTCGGGCTGGAGCTCATCAAGGAGTTGGAGCTGGAGGCGCTGAAGCACCAGATGCGGTTGATGGCGTTGAGAGGAAAGCCGTTGACGACGCAGGAGGAGGAGAAGGTTGGCCTGGAGATGGTCAAATGGCTTCGGAGGCTGAGGGAGCTATTTCCTGAAGTGCCAGAACGCATTCTGGAGCGGCTGCCCCCGAGGTCGGAATGGACGAGTTTGCCGTGGAATAGGCGGACAAGGAGGAGGATTCAGAAGGCCAAGGAGGTCATCCTCCACCTTTATTCGGGCCCGGACGCGAAGTTCTGGGAGAAGGAGTTGGAAACAGCAGACAGAGTGGTGCTTTGCATTGATCTGGAGCTTGGAGAAGGCCAGGATGTTGGAAAAGACAGCGTGATGGCCTATCTGATGGAGCTGTGTGCTTCGGGAAAGGTGAAGCAGATCTTGGCGGGCCCTCCGTGTCGGACTATCTCAAGGATGAGGTTTGTGCAGCCGGGACCGCCACCGTTAAGGACGAGAGATGGAGAGGAGCGCTTTGGTCGTCATGGGCTTCCTCAGGTGCTGATGGACAAGGTGGATGGAGATACGGTGCTCTGGTTGAGGCCGATGCTGCTGTACATGGTGGCGGAGGAGGCCAGTTCGTCCAAGGTTGGCTTCCTGGCGGAGAACCCACAGGATCCGGAGTCCTATGTGGAAGGAGGTCAAAGAGCCGCAGAAGCTCGGGAGCGGTATCCTTCGTACTGGGCTTGGGATGAGTGGAAAAGGTTCAAGAAGGCCTACAAGATGAAGGAGTACCACTTCGATCAGGGGCCCTTTGGCCATGCAAAGACGAAGCCTACGACGATAGGCACCAACATGGAGATGCTCGAGCAGCTGGACGGTGTTCGAGGAGGAGGATCGGATAAAGGTCCGCTGGGAAAGACCTTGGAGGAGCGGATGGCGGCTTCGAAGAAGTGGGCTGCCTGGGCGCCAGGGATGAAGAAGGCGATTGCCATGGCCGTTCGCATGGGCTTGGAGCAGGTGAAGCTGAAGGGGCTGAGTGCCGAGCAATGGAAGGCGCACTTGGCGAATGACCACCTCCCGTTTCATCGGGGATGCCGCACGTGCCTGGAAGGAGCAGGAAAGGCGCGGTACCACCGAAGGGTAGTGAGCCCTGAGAGCTACACGCTGGCGATTGACCTGGCGGGGCCCTTCAAACCTGGACGAGATCAAGAAGGTGTGGGACGATATATCGTCGTCGGCACCTACACGGTTCCGCTGACCCGGCAGGGACGAATGCTCATGCACTTGGCCCCGGAGCGCCTGGCGTGGCTGGAAGGTCCTGGTCGAGGAGACGTACCGGAGGCGGTTAAGGAGATGAAGAGATGGAAGAAACGGGACTACGACGCCAAGAGGTTGAGGGGCACGGGAGCAGGCGGACCGGCATGGAAGTTCGTAAAGTGGAGGCTCTCGGTGGACCTGGACACTCATGAGATCTTGGAGTCCAAGAGCATGATCGGAGAAGATCAGAAGGCGATGCAGACGGAGATCGACAAGCAGCGAAACCTCTTCACGGTGCTCTACTACCAGGAGGAGGAAGGAGACTTGGAGGGACCGCGGGGGGAGGATGACATGGAGCTTGACCCTGCGGGAGATGATGAAGCAGTTGAGGAGGAAGAAGAGCCATCTCCAGATGACGGGGAAGAGTGGCTGAAGAAGATAGAGAAAGAAGAGGACTTTGAGGTCCGGCAGCTCACGCTGGTGGAGATCGTGAAGACAAGAGGAGAAGCTCTGGAGGCCGTGGCCAAGATGACCACAAAGCTACGCTATCATGGACTACCTGTCCGGCGCCTTCACAGTGATAGAGCAGGCGAGTTCACGTCCAAGAGGGCCAAGAAATGGGCTATGGAACGCCTCATTATGCGGACGTTCACTGACGGCAGCTCGTAGAAGATGAATGGGCGGGCCGAGGCGGAGGTGGGGTTCATCAAGAGGCTGACCAAGACGCTGCTGAAGGGCTCGGGCGTGGAGGAGAATCTATGGCCGTTGGCGGCACGGCATGCTGGGGAACGAAGATGGAGGTCGCAGCTGGAGGCCATGAACTACCCGGTCAAGCAGTTGAGGGCTTTCGGGAGTGTGGCAATGGCGAAGACCAAGGCATGGAATCACCGGTCCAAGGATTGGGAAGCCACCAGGGAGGAGGTGACCATCTTGGGGCCGGATGTCACTATGTCGGCGTCTTCGGGAGGGTACTTCGTCCAGGGGGAGGATGGGAACTTCTTCCACACCACGGATGCGATTGAGACGGAGGAACCGCCTGAAGAGGAAGGGCCACTTGCTGGTGGTGCTGGAGCAGAAGATGGATGGCCAGGAGGAGGTGGTCCCCGGAGGAGGATTACATCCAAGAGGCCGCCTGCGCTGGAAGATCGAGAATGGGAGCCGGACCTGAGGACCTTGGTGATGGAATGTCAGGCCCGGGGGAGGCACATGATGGAGGAGGAATGGCGTCTAGAAGAGGAACAAGGCGCGGACCACGACATGGTGAAGAAGACCGTCGGGATGCTGGCGGAGGAGGACGCTCGAGTGGGGGCATGGTTGGCAGCAATGCAGAAGGCTGAGGATCTGGACTCTGAGGAGACTTGTGCGAGAAAGGCAACAGAAGAAGAGGTCTTTCTTCAGACCAAGACCTACGCCTTGGCAGATGTGAGGAAAGAAGTGGAGAAGTGGAGGCCTTCTATGGTAGAAGAGAGGGCGGCTTTGCTGAACTCGGGCGTGATCCGGGCCATCAATCAGCGGGAAGCCGAGGCGCTCAAGAAGGAGGCGCTGGAGAAGGGCATACCGTATGACCGGGTTCCGGCAAAAGCGGTGTTCACGAGGAAAGCTGCTACAGGACGACGGAAATGCCGTGGGGTTGCCTGTGGAGACTTCATGTCGGAAAGGCCCGCGGCGGGCATTGACGCGTCACAGGTGAGGGCGATGGTGGCGGCTGGAGCGCAGCGGGGATGGACTCTTGCGGGGGTCGATGTGAAAACGGCGTTCTTGCAAGTGCCGCCGGGCAGGTCCAAGGACATTGTAGTGGTCAACCCTCCAACCATCTTTCAGGAGTGCCAGATCACGGAGCCGGGAGAGCTTTGGGCGGTGGAGGGATCCGTTTACGGCCTTACTACGTCACCCAAGGACTGGGCAAACCACCGGGACGAAACCATGGGCGCGATCAACTGGGAGATGGAAGATGACGAGGGCACATGGGCTTGCTGGTTCGAGAAAACCAAGGAGGTGAATCTGTGGAGGATCAAGAGCAGTCGGCATGGACAAGATGAGACGGTGGGCTACATGGCGGTCTACATCGACGACCTGTTGATCACTGGAGATCGCGGGGCGGTGGCGGCGACTCTGCTCAAGATCCGGCAGGTTTGGGACACCAGCGACCCGGAGTGGCTGTCGGAGACAGAGGACCTGCGGTTTTGCGGGTTCGAATTCTCTTATGATGAGCAAGGGATCCGGATGCATCAGGAGTCCTACACGGCGGACCTACTGGACCGGCATCACATCGCCAAGGGCGGCACGCTGGGAGGAGTGGGGATTCCGGAGGAGGAACGGCCCCCGAGTCCTGAAGATGTGCGGCAGGCGCAAGTCATCACTGGAGAGCTGTTGTGGCTTTCTTCGAGGACGAGGCCGGACATTACCTACGCGGTAGCCGTGATGGGACAGTGGACTACGAAGAGACCTCGGGGGGTCACGAGGATTGGGGAGAAGGTGCTGCAGTACCTGTGGAGGACGTCACGGGAAGGTCTGCGGTACCAACGTCTTGGTGCTGGAGATTATGGGCCGGACCATCAACAGCATCGTGAACGTCGACGAGATGCAGTGGAGGCCTACGCGGATGCTTCTTTTGGAGCCCATGAGCACAAGTCGATCTCGGGATTGGCCGTGTACTACTCCGGCTGCCCCGTCTTCTGGGCTACGACGCGACAAGCGTGTATTGCGCTTAGTACGGCGGAAAGCGAGCTGGCGGCGCTCATTGAAGCCTGGACGGCTTTGAGGGGAGTTGGTGGCTTGGTGGAGGAACTGGAGGAGAAGCCCGCGGAGCTTAGGCTCTACAGCGACAGTAGTGCGGCCCTGGCCATTGTCAACGGGAGCTCGGGAAGCTGGAGGACGAGACATCTGAGGATACGGGCTGCGGCGCTTTCGGAGGCGGTCAAGCTCGGTGATGTCCAGCTTCAACATGTTCCTGGGCAGAGTCTGGTCGCGGACGGCTTCACGAAACAGCTTGGGGCATCACCGTTTGGGCGCTTCAAGGAGTCATTGGGCCTCTATGGTGGGGCGGTGGAGAGCGGTGAGAGCCCGGCGGAAGTTGTCAAGGTGAAGAAGATAGAAATCAGCCGAGACAGGAGATTGGAGAAAGTCCTGGGATTGCTGGTGGTGGCCTCTACATGCGTGGAGCTGACAGAGGCGAAGGAGATGGACCTTGGAGAAGAAGGAGGTGGCGACTGGTGGCTTGTGGTGATTGTCGCCGTGGTCATCTTGCTGAAGCTGGTCAAGGAGCTTGGAGTGGTGGCACTGCGGAACTGCTTGCGAAAAGAGGAAGAGCTGCGGTTCCAGAGGACCTGTGCAGAAGCTGTGATGCCGGAAAGGCCAACGGAGAGCTCAGCCGGGGTGAATCTTTTCGCGGTGAATAGAGTGGTGGTGCCGGCGGAGAGTTACACGCTGGTAAGGACGGGCGTGAAGGCACAGCTGCCCCGAGGAACGTGCGGGAGGATCACAACGGTGGCCAGCTTGGCTTTGAGAGGAGTTGAAACTGGATCCGCGGTCATTGAACGCGACTTCAGTGGAGAGGTGAGGATTTTGGTCAGGAACCATGGACCCCAGGACTACGTCATCGAGCCGGAGGAGGCGGTAGCGCAATTGGTGCTGGAGAAGGTTTCCCTGGCCAAGATCAAGGAGGTGAAGGAGTTGGACGGGCCTGTGAAGAAGCAGAAAGAGGAGGTTGGTCCTTCGGTGAGATCGTTGGTGGTCGAGAAGGCGGGTGCTTCGTCAGGGAGATCGTCTATGAATTGGATGAAGCCGGAGGTGAAAGACTTTGAGAATGTGGGTGAGGGGTTGCGGCTGCGAAAGGTTGCACCAGCCGGTGGTGGAGATGGTCCTCCGGAGGTGACAGAAAGGCCATCGCAGGATGAACCTGGTGAAGATGAATGGGAGGTCGAGTTCCGCGAGAATGAGATTAGACTTTCCCGCATTCACATGGTGCCGCGCTACTGGGACTACATTCCGAGGCCTAGAGAGCTTCCACCCGGCATCAACTTTGAGGACTTGGACTACATCAGGATCTCCGAGATCGCTCCGGACGCTGAGAACGGCATGACCTGGGAGAGGGTGGTCGAGAATTGGCAAGAAGAGCACTGGGAGAGGAGGACACCATGGACGGGGTCTTCAAACTTCAGGGTCTTGAGGCGGCCCGAAGCCGGAGTGAGGAGCTCGAGTTCAAGTGGTCCGGGGCAACAACCTCCTGGGAACGGAGGAGGTGGAGAATCGGGATCAAGGCCTTCGGGATCTTCGGGAGGGGATTCCTCGGCGGCTGGATCAGGAGCTGGTGGAACGGCTGGATCAGGGACATCGGCATCTACCGGAGGTGGTGGCGGTGGCATTGATGGGGCGGCAAACAAGCGGCCTAGGACGCATGGAGAGGAGATGATCTCGCGGCGGGTTGTGGGCGGTTCGGATCAGAACATGCTGGAGGTCATGCGGCTCGCTTTCTTTCAGGACCTTGAGGAGAGCGCGGTGGTCATGTTGTCCCATCCGCCTAAGGGGACACGGGACGAGTGGATTGAGGTGCCTCTTCCTGGCCTTGGAGAGATTGGCATCCAGGTCCACAGGAAGGAGCGCGTGAAGCTCTTCGACACGGAGAAGGAGGGCTACGAGGGAACGAAGCGCACCATTGCCTGGTCCGTTGGAGGAGGGCTGTGGGTGGACCTGTCGCCCCGGAAGGGGCGGCGCGCGAAGGGCAAGTGGGTGGGCTACACCATCTTCAAGAAGAGCTGAGGGGTTTGAGCAGGTTCTTTTTCCGGGTGAGACCCTTAAAAGAAGGGGGAGCCCTGATGTTTGAGTTGCGGATGAAATCACCGGGCATGGATAGCCCCTTTTTGGCCGAAGAAGGAAAATAGCCTGCAGTTAGTTGAGTGCTTACAATGTCAAGAAGCAACAATATGCAGGTTTCCCCGCAACGGAGAATTGAGCGGCCAGGTATTTGAAGGACATTTTGGCGGTCCCTCCTTCCCGCAACCAGTAGGCTACCAACAATCTGGTCACTGAATTTGACCGAGA